ACTGTACATGAACCAGTTGAATCTGCACCTTTACATTTTATTGAATTTCCAACAAAAGAAAGACAACTTGATGTAGTTCCAATATATTATGAACAAGAAACTGTAGATTCAACACAACCTTTACCAGATGTTCTACATCCTGTTAAAAATGCATCACATTCTTAATCTGTCATTGCAGTTGTATTGTGAGTACATTATCTAACTACACAAGTTCCTTAACCATATGCTAACCAACATTTACCTCCAGAAGTAGTTCTAAGATTTTAACATTATGAGGCAGAAACATTTGTATATTGAGAACATGTATCTTACATATTAAAACAACTAACACCATCATATGTACATGTTGATAAATGATCAGAACAAGTAGTGTAATTAGGATTAATGACACTATTTGCACAATTTCTATTTTCACAAGTTCCAATAGAAGATGAAGATTTCCAACATTTAACTCCAGAAGTAGTAGAAGTATTTTAACAAGCACTTTAAGTAAAACTAGTATATGAAGTGCAACTGGCTAAACTATCAACACAAATTGATCCATTAAATCTACAAGTTGAAAGATGAGTAACACAAGTCTAAGCACTTGCATTTTCAACTGAATTACTACATAATCTTGTAGTACATTATTATGGTACATTAAATGGAATCCAACAAAGTCCACCTGAAGTAGTAGTTACTGATTTACAAGCATCAGAAGAGAATCCAGTATAGAGACTACAATCATTCCTTTGATCAACACATTATGTTCCATTGAATCTACATGTTGACATATGTTCAACACATTTTGTAGCTGAATAAGTTAATAATACATTAGAACATAATCTACTTTCACATGTTCCAACATCACTAGTTGTTTTCCAACATTTAGTAACACCATCATCTAAAGTAGTTTCTCTGCATGCATTTTAAGTAAATGATGTATATAAATTACAAGCATTTTATGAATCTGTACATGATGTTCCATTATATCTACATGAAGCTTTATGTGCAGCACAATTAATTAAATTTGGTGCAGTTACAGTATTACTACATTATCTAACTTGACAAGTAGTTGAATTTACATCTTCTTACCAACATTTCTCAAATGATGAAGTTATAGCTACTTTACAAGCAGCTACACTAAAATTAGTATATGAAGTACATGAACTAACTTAATTAACACATTTAGTTCCATCGTATATACATGATGATAAATAGTTATAACAAAATTCTGCAGAAAATATATTAGGTTCAATTAATTAAGTAGTTATAGCTGAACATGTTCTAGCTTAACAACTATCATTAGTAGTTGATTTATTCCAACATACACCTGAAGCAGTATTCATTGCACTTCTACATGCTAATGATGTAAAATTAGTATATAAATCACAAGTTGCTTATTTTTCAACACAATTAGCCCCAGTAAATACACAACCAGATAAAAATTGATCACATTCACTTTAACTATTAGCTGGCCCTTTTTGAGCACAAGTTCGAGTCAAACAATTACCACTTCCACTACCTAAATAACATAATCCACCTGATACTGTAGTAATCTATTAACATATTGTATAATTTAAATTAGAATATGATGTACAAGATGCTTCTGCATCTATACATATAGTACCATTAAATCTACATGTTGATAAATAATTAGTGCAAGCAATATTGTTAGCTGGATTAGTAACATCAGAACATCTTCTATTCATACAATTATTTTTACGAACACATGGTTATAAATTACCTTTAAATATTTAACATTAATCTTCATTTCCTTAATAAGATGTACATAATTCAGTATTCTCAATACATCCAATACCTTTTGTAACACAACCAGATAGAAATTAATTACAAGCCTCATCACTTGTAGAAGTAGTATCTTATGAACATTATTTATCAACACAACTTGAACCACCAATCCACCAACATCTTTTATTATTCCCTTTAAATCCTTAACAATCTGTAGTACTATTTCCTGCATAAGATGAACAAGGTTCACTTTTACTAATACATCCTGTTCCCTTACTTACACAATTGTTTAAAAATTGATTACATTATATATCATCAGTTGCAGTAGTATTATCACTACATTACAAATTCCTACAATTAGATGTTACTCCATTATCTTAATAACATTTTATTGTCCCATTTACTCCATTATATGTACTACAATTTTCCTGATTTCCATAATATATATTACACTAAGATGAACTATCAATACATCCACTATTGCCTTAGAATTTGCATCCAGTCATATGTTCATCACATTATGTTTGACTTGTTGCAGTTGTATTACTCACACATGTCACATCAATACATGCAGCATTACTAACACTTGTACTAGTACATTTGATTCCATTTCCTTTAAAATTTATACATGTATCTTTATTCCCAGTATATTAATTACATGGGGCAGTTATAGATATACATCCTTATGAATTTGTAACACAATTCTCTAAGAAAGTATTGCAATCTTCATCTTTTGTATATGTAATAGGAGCATCACTACAAAGTCTTTGTCTACAAATTCCATTTACCCATTAACATTTAACATTATTTGCTAAATTATTATTACATAAACTAATTGTATTATAATATTAACAACTAGTTTTTGTAACACAAATTTAATTCCATTAACATTAACTACTACCTTAACAACTTATCTCTGCAATTGTTGATGTACACAATGTTTTTTCAACACAACCATTACCATTAGTTAAACATCCACTCTAAAATCCAGAACATTAATCATGACTTGTATATGTTACAGGTGCATTTGAACAAATCTAAGCCTTACAAGCAGATGTTGTATCTCCAACACCATAACAATTACCCTCACTTCCTATAAATTTAGAACAAGTACTTGCTGTACCACTGTAAGTAGTACAAGATAATCTATTACTTACACATCCTAAACCAGTTGTCACACATCCATATTAATAATCTTTACAATCTATATCTGTTTTCAAAGTATCAGGTGCCTCTGTACAAACTCTAACCTTACATCCACCACTTAATCCAATAGTACACTTTCCATCACTTCCAATATACTGATTACATTCATCAGTAGTTCCTGTATAAGTATTACATAATTTCAATTAAGTTACACATCCTCTTCCATTTGTAATACAAGTACTTAGATATTATTAACATAACTCATCAGTATTATTTGTTTTATTTGCATTTTCACATTTTCTTTCTTAACATTAATTAGATACACCTCCATCACATCTACCTTCTAATCCTATCATCTATTAACAAATAATAGCTTCTCCTGTATAAGTACTGCAACTACTCAATGGATATTTTGAACATCCTCTACCTGTTGTAACACATCCTAATTAAAATTTTGCACATTATTCATTTGTTGTTAATTCTAATGATGCTGCTGTACAAGGTATTGGACTACAACCACTACTTGTTTTCTCACAATAACCATCACTTCCTATCATACCTGCACAAGATTCACCATAAGTTGTACATTCATCTCTTTTCTCAACACAACCCTTTCCATTTGTTATACATCCTGGATAAAATTTATTACAATCACTATCTGTCATCAAAGTTGTACTTGCTTCTATACATTTTAAATCTCGACATTTCTATTCATCCCATTTACATCTACGACCTTATGCGTTAATATTTGAATTGCAAAGTCCTTACTCAATATAATCACTACAATTTAAAGGATCTATGCATTAAGTTCCATCAGATGTGCATTATTGAGAAATCTATTAACAGACATCATTTGAATTTCCTTCATATGCAGAACATCCACTAAATTATTCACAAACACCTAATTTGAATGCACATCCTTTCTATTATTAACAAGTAGTCATATCCAAAGAGCCACAATATACACTTACAGTTTCATCACTTTATTGATCTTCATTTTTAACACATTTTTCATCTTTCCATAGACAACTATCTTAAATGCAATCAGATTTAGATTTTATTTATTCACAATTACATTATTCATTTATTGGTACTGTAGCAGCTAAATTATAAGTAATCAACAAAAATAGCAAAGTCAATCTTATCATTATTATTATATATATATATATAAATTATATTTCAAATTTTCCTTTAATTTTTTAATAGTATCTATTATGATATTCTTCTAATATATCATTTTAATAATACTATATTATTTAACTATTTACTGCAAATTCATCTACTGTTTTATTTTGTCCTCTATCATATTTTAAACTAAATCAAATTTAAGTAAAAATTTTATGATTTATACTCTATTTTAATCTATTTCTTTAATACTATATAGATAATCATTCATTGAAAGAGAAAAAAACTGTTAAACCGATTATTGATATTATTTAATTAATGTGATTTCATTAACACAAATTAATATCAATAATATGAACAAATTAATTGAAAAAAAAGATAACAAATCTCTTGACTTATATGTTGTATTAAAAAACTTAGAATACCTAAAGGATCACTTAGTTATTTTAGAAAAGAAAATAAACAGAAAAAAAATTAAGATTGATGATGACTTAGAAAAAACGATACTTATTTGTAATTCAGATTAAGAAGATTGAACTAAAACTAATTTACATCTCTCTCTCATGATTATAAATTCATTTTTCCATTTAAAACATATTATTTCTTATTTAACTTCCATTAAAGATGATAAATGGCATAAAATTAAATAATTAGTTATCATTTACATCATTTTTCAATAAGAAATTCTCAATTTAAAATTATTCGATAATTCATTCCAACTTTTGTCACAATCATATTTACTGAATAATCCTTAAGTTATTATTATCAAAAATTGAAAAAAACAATATATAAGTAAAATAATGTATTATTATATATGTTCATATCATATCTCATATATATATTATAAACATTTATGGTATATCCATAATGAATATAATGTATATTATTTAACAATTATTGAATTGTATATATATTAGGAATTAACTTATCTAAATTTAATTCGATATTAAAAATTTGATAAAGTCATTTTTATTCGAATAAATATTATTTATTTAAAGATGACAGAATGCAAAGATAAAGATTTAGATGAAATTTATAAAGAACATTGCAATGAAAACTTTAATAGCACAGATAAGATAGTCACTTTTATTTTGAGGTTAATAATATTGATGATTTCTATTTATTCAAGTTTTTAAGTACTCTTGATTATCAAAAAGAGTAATAAAAAGTAATTTTGGCCATTTTAGTTAATCTCTTTTTAAGTTATTTCTGAATCTATTGATCTTGTTTTTGCTTTACTATTTACAATTAATAGCTCATGTTGGCCAAATGCTTGTAAATTTGTTGGATATATTATGCATTCTAATTGGTTAGCATCTTTGTTATATATGCTATTTTAATGCTTCATTTACTTTTTATTGATTAAAGTAAAATATGAATTTATTGATAGTCAGAAATTCTATTCAACTTTGTAATGAAATATCTTTATTTCTTTTTGTTTACATTTTATTTTATCCCTTATGGATTTTTATATAAAGTATTCTCTGATGATGGATTTGGTCCTTCTGGATGGTATTTAAAAAATGGAGAATTTAATTTTATATTTTGTGGATGTACAAATTACAATTTAAATTTAGTTATAAATCATTAAATAATTGGATTTTGGATTGTCCCTGTTGGAATAATCTTTAGTTTATCAATAATTCTTTCAATTTATGTAAACTATTTAATTAAAATAGAATTCATGTTATTGGTATCATTTACAATATAAAACAGAATTAAGATATCCTTCTTTAAGAATTTAATCAATGATTGTATTTCCCTTACTTTACCTCTTTGCATGGATAATCAATTTTTTAATTAGGTATAAAATAATTGATGAATAGATTAAAAGACACAGCTGCTAATAATTAAAATTATTGTCCTTAATAAAATAAGAATCTAGTTTTCTACATATTTTATTAATTTTTAAACCTAGGATTTGAGTTACATTTGACTCTAGGTGCAATTCTATTTTTTTATATATATAGGTATATTATGATATATTTTATAAAAGAGGACTATTTAGAATAGATTCCTTATGTGATTAAATTTGTTTAAGAAAGAGAAGGTATAAAAAATAAAATAAGAAAAAACTTTATTAAGATTAATCAGTTTTAGCCATTTAATTAGAATGATCATTAAATTTTTAATCCTAATACTTAATTATAATAGTTATTATTTATAAAAATCAATAATTATTGATAAATCATCTTTAAACAGTAATTTATTTATATTTCTAATCATTATTTAATCTTTTTTTATATAAATAACAAAATATAAGTCAATTTGACTATTTATATATATAAATAATAAACGAAAAAGAGTTCATTTTTTATCATTTTTTATTTGTTTTTTAATCAAAATAAATGTAATTAAAAATTAATAGAATTATGTTTTACAATTAGAATCTAATGAATTAAGGTTTTATACATTTAAAAAGTGATAATTATCAAATTTTGCTACTTAATTCATCTTAACTTGCTCAATAAAGAAAGTATTTAAATAAAAATATTATAATCTAATTATAATAATATTAATTTTTATATTGCTACAACTCTATGGACCCCTAGAAATAAAATTTTGATTAGAGTGTTAAAATTCTATTAATTGGAGATGTTTATGTTGGAAAAACTTAGTTGATTTACAGATATTGTGAAAATATATTCTTAAAAACATATTTATCAACAATCGGTGTAGATATCAAAGAAAAATCAATTGATATCGAAGGGAAGAAAATACTAATGAAAATTTGGGACTCTTCAGGAAAAGAAAGTTTTGAACAATATACTTTATCAGGTTATAAAGGAGCTAGTGCAATAATCCTTGTATATTCTATAAATGATAGAAAATCATTTAACAATGTTATTACTTATTGGAAAAATCAAATTAAGCAATATGCAAGTGAAAATGTATGTATATTACTAATAGGTTTCTATTTTAATTTTATTCATATATTTTAGGAAATAAAATTGATGTATCAAATAGGTAAGTCGCAAGAGATGAAGGAGATGCATTTGCAAGATAATTTGGATTTCTTTTTTATGAAACTTCAGCAAAGGAAGGTACAAATGTGACAGATGCCTTTTATGCAATAGTCAAGTAAATCATAGAAAAATAGCCTATTCTATCTGCTGAAAAATAACCTAATCCCCCCACTGAAAAAAAATAATGTTGTATTTTCTGATTTGAATATAAAATAAACAATATTATATAATTTCATCTTTTAACTGTATCTAATTTGTTATTAAATCTTAATTATTTAAAATTTCTTATTTTATCTACTTAACAATATATAAACATAATATCAATATAAAATATTATTGTGAGAAACTATTTTTAGATCTAAATATAATTATATTATCAATAATAATTCTTTTAAAGTAAATCCTCTATTTATATTATGAAACCAAATTTATAAATAGAATACCAATCTCAAACTGCTTCTCCCATCATTCAATTTTTTTCAACAATTCTAAAAGAAGAGAGAGAAAATGAATATAAAGATGACCATGAAGATGATGATGACGAAGAGACTCCTATTAAAAAGGCAATAATAATAATTATAGCCTTATGTATTGGATTAGTAATACTTGGAATACTATCATGTTTAATTAGATATTTTTATATGAGACATAAACAAAAAAGAATAGCATAAGTTAGACAACAGTCAGAGGCTGCTTATTAATAATAGAATATTTAGATAGAGTCTCTCTGTTTATAAACTTAGGAACTAGCTTAATGTCCAATCTGTTTGATGCCAATACCTAATTGCTATTTGATAATAACCCCTTGTCATCACTCTTTTCATTAAGCTTGTCTCAATTTATGGCTGCAAGTTGAAAAAATCTGTCCTTCCTGCAGAACTTCTCTAAATTAATGAAATTCGTTCAATTACAAAATTAACACTTTAATTAATGAAGTTATAAATATCTTGAGTTGTTGTTATTCATTTACAAATTTATTTATTTTTTCATTTTTTTTTGTAATTTCATACATAATTCTAAATTATTTTTTTTAAATTAGTTAATAAATAAATTTCGTAAATAATATTATCTTATACAAATAATAGTATATATAAAGTAATATACTTTTTATATCAATTTAAAGATTTCTTTTAAAGATCTATCATAAAACAAATAGAATTTGAATTAGCCATTCCTATTTTCATTAATAATTAATGATTAGAATAAAAATTTGATGAAATTAAGAGATAACAAATCATCTTTGGTATAAAAATTAATATTTTTATCAATAATCAATTAACATATAGCATATATGAAATACTATGATGTATTTTTTATATTATTTATAAATATAAAATGAATAATTCTCAAAAAAGCAAGTCTGTTCGATCTGGTTCTGCAAGAGTAAGATCAGCAATTGAAAGAGCAGGATTACTCTAATAAAGAGAATAATTACGTGAAATGTTAATAAGCAAATTTACCAAAGATTATGCTTAAGGGAATAAAAGCAAAGAAGTTCTAATATAATAAATAGTTAATGGATACTTTACAAATGAGCAAGTACCTAGCATCTACTAAATTAGGTTACAGAAAACTCTCTAAAGTAATTGAAAGCAAGAGTAATTGAGGCTGTTTAAAAATAAAAGGTTCAAAGTTAAACATAACATGTAACCTAGAATAATAATAATTCTCATCTTGACAATAAAAGTGAATAGAGATCATAAATTCCTAGACCACAATCAGTTAGAAATTCAACTAAATCAGAAGTTGATCAAGATTAATATTCTGTAACGTCTTCTCAATTTGAAAAACAACCAAAATCTGTATATGTAGTAGATGAAGAGGATGAATGGGCTGCTTTAGTAAAATTTGATACGGAACTATATACTAAAGAGTAGCAATTAGAGTAATAGAGATAGGAGGAGTTTAAGAAAAAGATGAAGTTAGAATTAGATAGACAGTTAGAGGAGAAGAAACGAAGATTAGAAATGGAAAAGAAACAAGAAGAGGCTTATGTTAAATTAAGAGATTACTAGATGGGAGTCTATGATCAAAGAGAAGAATAGAAAAAAAGAGAAATAGCATAAAAATAATAAATGGAAAAAGAATAAAGAGATAGATAAGTAAGGGAAGAAGAGAAAAGAAAATTCTTGGAAAAAAAGAAATAGTCAGAATTAGATGCTATTTTAGTATAAAGGATTCAAGAAGAATTAAAATAAGAATAGAGAGAAATCTTATAAAAAAAAGAAATTGAAAAAAGAAAATTTATAGAAATGATGGATGAAAATGAAAAAAATAGATAAAAATAAATTTAAGATGAAATAACAGATAAATAATTAGAAGTTGATATGCAAAGGAAGTATATCTAGTTACAATAAAAGCTGGAAGAAGAACGTGAAATGGAGAAAAAAGAAAGAGAAGACAAAATAAAAAAGATAATGAGTGATTTTTCATAGACTGTAGTAAAGAATTAAAAAGATTAAATAAAGTATAGAAATGCAATAAATATAGAGCTGAAGATGATAAAATGATGAAAGCTATCTTAATGCAAAATCAACTTGAATAGTAAGATGAAGAGATGAAAAAAAGATAAATCAAATCATAATAAGAGGAAATGAGAAAATATTTAATAAAGTAAATGGAGGATAAGAAGTATTTATATAATAATGGCTTTAGATAGAAACTAAAAGAAGAAGAAGAATTAAATAAGAAATAAGCATAAGTTTGGCAACAAGATTTATAGACATTCTAAAAGCATGAGAAATCTAAATATGATTATATAAAGGATGTGAATATGAAACATTAAGAGATTTTAAAGTAGTAAATAGATGAAAGAAGATCATAATAGAGACCTAGAAATAAAATGAATAATGAAGAATTAATGCATAATAAACCTTTGTTAAAGGAATTGGCAGATAAATAAGATACTATTAAGGTTAGGAAGATTAATATAGGATGAGAATAATATTGATATAGATTATATATTAAGTATTTAAATGTGATTACAAATCTATAAATTAAATTATCAATAAATGACACATAGTTATGGTTTGAAGAAGGGTACAAGAAGCAAATTTGCTAAACCTTTTAGAGGACATGGAAATATTTCAATTCGCAAGACACTTTAAACATTCAAAAGAGGTAAAAATTACAATTAATTCACTTTAAGGTGATTTTGTTGATATTTTGGTTGATGGTGCTTAACATAAAGGAGTTCCATTTTAATATTATCATGGTAGAACTGCAAGAGTATTTAATGTCAATCCAAGAGGAATTGGTGTTTCATTATAAAGAAGAGTTAGAGGAAGATATGTAGAGAAAAGATTCCATGTTAGAGCTGATCATTTGAGACCATCTAAATGCAGATAAGAATTTGTTAAAAGAGTTTAAGAGAATGATAAAAAGAAGACAGAAGCAAAGAAAAATAAATAAGTCATTTCAACAAAGCGATAACCAGTTTAACCAAGAGGAGCAACAGTTGTTATTCCAAAATAAACAACCTTCTAACATCCTAAGGCTTTTGTAGAAATTATTTGATAAATAAATAAGTATATTAAATAAACAAAATAGAAAATATTCTATAATTTGGTATTATATGATTATGTTTATTTAACTTGATACATCACAATCATTTTTCTTATTATTATTAAGGTCCATCAAAATCATCTTCATCTTCCTTTCTTCTATAATAATATGTTTCAAGATTTTTTTTGTTAATCTATATTAAAATTATTATTAAATTAATACCTTCTTTAATTTTTCAGGTGGGAAGATTCTTAATAATCTCCAAGCCAAATCCAATGATTTGAAAATAGATCTGACTTCATAGGCTCCTTAACTGATGAAATTATTCTCAAATTTCTTTAAAAATTCTAAATACAAAAGATCTTCAGCTGACAAGGCTTCTTCTCCTACGACTGCTTTCATTGATGCAGTATCCTTACCAATAGCATAATTTGCATATAACTAAAATTATATATATAAGTATTACTTGATTTGAGACTTCAGGATGATCTTCTCTGGTCATACCTTTACCAATAGCTGACTTCATCAATCTTGATAAGGATGGTAACACATTGATAGGTGGGTAAACTTATTTATTATTCAATTATCTGTCAATGAAAATTTATCCTTCTGTAATATATCCTGTAAGATCTGGAATTGGATGTGTAATATCATCATTAGGCATTGTCAATATTGGAATTTGAGTAATTGATCCATTTTTACCTTAAACTCTACCTGCTCTCTCATAAATAGTTGAAAGATCTGTATATAAATAACCAGGGAAAGAACGTCTTCCTGGTACTTCTTCTCTAGCTGCAGATACTTCTCTTAAAGAATCTGCATAGGCTGACATATCTGTTAAGATAACTAACACGTGTAATTCCTTTTCATATGCCAAATATTCTGCAGTTGTTAATGCCAATCTTGGAGTAATAATTCTTTCAATTGTTGGATCATTAGCCAAGTTCATAAACAAAACGACTCTTTCCATTGAACCATTCTATTCGAAATCTGTTTAGAAAAATCTAGCTGTTTCCATATTAACACCCATAGCACCAAATACTACTGCAAAATTTTCATCAGAATGATCAAGAACATCTTTACCTTTTACTAATGAAGCTTAACGCACAATTTAACTAAAATTATGGTTATTAATCATACGCTCCTATTTCATTATGTGGCAAACCGTTAGCAGAAAACAATGGAATCTTTTATCCTCTAGCAATTGAGTTCATGCAATCAATAGCTGAAATACCTGTTTGAATCATTTCTTATGGATAAACTCTTGAATATGGATTGATGGGTTGACCCTAAATATCTAAAAATTCTTCTGCCAATACAGGGGGACCTTTATCAATTGGAACTCCTGATCCATTAAATGCTCTTCCAAGCATCTCTTCAGATATAGCCATCTAAAGTGTTGAACCTGTGAATTCACAATGAGTGTATAAATTATCAATTCCAGATGTTCCCTCAAAGATTTAGACGACAGCTTTCTTTCCTGCAATTTCCAAAACTTAACTAGAATAATTATATTTATCATTACCCTTTTCTCACTGATCCATCACCTAAACAAACATTAACAATTTCTGCATATCTTGGGAATTTCACATTGTCCAAAATAACTAAAGGGCCATCCACCTTTACAACTGTTCTATAATCTACTCTTGGTGTCACATTATAATTTCTTGTAGCTGCAGCTGCATTTAATCGAGCTGCTGCAACCTTTGCTATGTCATGGGCCTTATGATGATGACTCATAATATAAAATAAAGATATTTATGGTTTTAAGAATTTATAAACAAATATTAATATTTCCATTCATTTATTCTCTGTTCAGCTTTAGAGATATCCTCTCTTTCTAATAGGCCTCTTACATATTCTAGTGAAATAATTCACTTATGTCTTTAAATTAAGAATAAAACACAATAAAGTTAAGTTAAATCTTTATTGTAGATTTAGTCATAAATAGGTTGTTTATTATTATATATCTTTTATAAATTCATAGTTATATTAGATTAAATCTATCAACTGAAATTTCAATCTCAAATTGTTGTAAAATTAGGATTTTATGAAACTTATTATAATATTTTAAATACTTGAAAAATAGTTATAATTAATTTAAATCAATTTTATTCAATATGATCTTAAAATAACTTAATTAAATAGATAGATATAATTACTTTAATTGTACATAAAATCTTGGAATTTCATAGATAAAGTAAGACAACATTTATCTAATATTAATAAATCAATAGTAGACAAAATATGTAAAGAAGAATTATTAAAGTTATTTATTTGATGTATTTACATATAAACTTCATGATTTATTCAGATATTTATTTATACTTGATATCAATTTTTCAGTTTAAAAGTGACTCTATTTTAATTTTGTCAACTTCTGTTAAAGCAGATATATATTCTGATATTCTAGCATGCGTTGGAGATCCTTCAATCCTTTTTTCAAGAGAATCAATCTTAGTTTTCATTTAAATATTTTCTTTAGTCAAAACAGAATTTTCGGTTATTAGTTTTTTCTATTTTAAGTTTAATAATTACATTTTAATCTTTTAGAATTTTTATAGTTCTTTATAATTAAATGATTTCCAAATCACGATCTAGTAATTATTTCTACATTTATAGATTTGATTATTTTACAACATTTTCTTTGAGCTAATTAATATACAAAATTACTTTTAACTTATTGTTTCTCTTCTTCTATACTCTCTGCTACAGTTGTTTTGGTGCAACTTAATTTATCTGTCTTTATATCTACTAGAGAACTCACCTATTAATTTAATGAATCATCTTGCTTCATTGTAGAATTGAACTTCGATTCTTCAGCTTACTTAAAATAAGAGTATAAATAACCTATGTAAACATTCGTAATTTAATATCAGAATAAGGAGTTCTTATACACAAAGTAGATCCACTAATAGGTTACTTATTAGGTAGAGCAGGAGCTCTGATGATAGTTACAGGAGAATTTTTTCTTGTTTCAAAATGCTTTTACAATAAGGAAGTTGACTATCTATGGTAAATATTCTAATATGAAATAGACTTCTGATTACTTAAGTGAGTGGCAACATTAAATTAAACAAGAAAATTAAAAAAATAAATTTTGTACAATATTTTTAGTTATAGTTGAAAAATAACAATCATGATCGAATTTTATTTTAATTTAAATCAATTCTAAACTTCTAGTAAGGATGTTATCATTATTCTATTTCTTTTTTCCATTATTATTAATTTCAATTTTTCGAATAAATTTTATTTTTATATATGAAAAGGCTTAATCTTTAATTTATTTTTCTTAACTATCTTTTAAATCTAAGTTAATAAAGCAATTCTAGTCTATTAGAATTATTTTATCTAGCATAAGGTCTCTAATTAAAGATTGCCTCATATAGTTAATCTGTACTATTGGATAGATCCACTTTATTCAATCTAAAATCTACATTCTCTTAAATAATTGAAAGAAAATAATTCCTATGGATATTTGCATGTGATAATGAGGAAAAGGATTTAACAATAAATTCTAACTCTCTCTTGCTTTCAAAATAACTATCATTTTAATCATGAAAATGAAAATTAATTTTGCCGTTGTATTATGACAACCCTAATTTAAATATATAAACTGATTTCATTATTTCCAATACTCCTGCAATATACTTTTATAGGTCATATTGATTTTATAGATCAGAATATAAATGATATATGGAGTTTACTATTTAGATCAATTATAATGGAATATTAGTAATATCAAAAAAGATTTCAATTAATTTCTGTGAACTATAACAACTTTTATAATTTGTTTTATAAATTCCTCGTGAGTATTTTTTTTGAATCATAAGTTTAATATTTTTAATAATAAGTGGATCTTGTCACTTATTGTAATATTTTAGTGTCTCCTCTCCAAGTATAATATAAATTATAGAATGAAGAAAATAGATGGATTTGATAATTATCCTGAAATTATCTGAGAGATACAAAAATTTGTAAAATTATAGACCTTAATAATTATATCAATTCTATAACATATAGAGTTCTATAATTTTAACAAAAAATATTCAAATTCTTTATGTAATTATTATTGAGATAATGAATTTTATTTATTTGTTGAATAAGTATTCATAATATAAAAAGAAATTATAAATCTAAATATAGATTGTAAATATTTACATAAAAACAATATTTACTATATGATATCATAAATTCTATTAAATCACTGAATTTTATAAATAGATTTAGTTTGAATAGATTTAAATATATATCAGTGATTTGATAAATTATAAGTATTCTTAATTTATACAATAATAAATTTTAAGAAAATCCAAAACTCTATTTTTTTCTTATAAATGAGTACATGGCAACAAATAGGCTATTTGGTTAAAAAAAATTTATTAATCAGTATGAGAAACAAAGAGTTCCTTGTTGAGTCAATTTTACCAATTGTTGTGGCAGCTATGCTTTCATTAAAAGGTATAATAATGATTGAGATGATTAGGTCAAATATAAGCAATTTAATAATTGATGCCTTTAATGTATGGTATTGCATTGACTTCTACACAAAGATCTATGATGATTAAGTTAGTAGAAGAGAAAAGTAAAAGGTATAAAGAATTACAGAAAGTAAGTATATAAATAAAAAACTTATTAGATTATGGGTGTGAAGGATAATGCATATCTTTATGGTTGGGTAATAACTGGTTATATAAGAATTGCAATTGTAAATATAATGGTTTTAATTTTAGTCTTTAATAATATTTGAAGTATGTTGGTATGTATGTAATATAGTTTTTAATATTGATTGGGATGAAGAATTTCATATATCTTTTTTATCTCTATTATGGCCTTATGTATTATTTGCTTTTGCTGTAAGAATATATATTAAATACATTAGGCAATGAATTAGAATTTTTTTTTATCAAGTTTATTTAATGAAGTTAAAATTGCTGGTGAAATGTAATCATTTATATAGATTGCTTTTATTTTTTTCATATATTTTTCATTTGTAGAAAAGTTGGCTGATAAGATGATATTTTATATTTTTTTGACACTTATAAGTCCATAATGTGGAATATCCTTTTCGTATATATCAGCAATGAATAGTTAAAGTGGAAATGATTTAACGAAATTGAATTTATTCCCAACTGATATAATTAGTAGTACATATTCAACTTAAATGGCTGGTATTCAATTAGGAGTACAATTAATTGCTTATTTCATACTATTTTTGTATTGTGAATAAGTTGTTCCAAATGAATATGGAATAGCTAAACATCCTTTATTTATATTTGGAGTCTCTTATTAGAAAAAAGCAAANATAACATATAGAGTTCTATAATTTTAACAAAAAATATTCAAATTCTTTATGTAATTATTATTGAGATAATGAATTTTATTTATTTGTTGAATAAGTATTCATAATATAAAAAGAAATTATAAATCTAAATATAGATTGTAAATATTTACATAAAAACAATATTTACTATATGATATCATAAATTCTATTAAATCACTGAATTTTATAAATAGATTTAGTTTGAATAGATTTAAATATATATCAGTGATTTGATAAATTATAAGTATTCTTAATTTATACAATAATAAATTTTAAGAAAATCCAAAACTCTATTTTTTTCTTATAAATGAGTACATGGCAACAAATAGGCTATTTGGTTAAAAAAAATTTATTAATCAGTATGAGAAACAAAGAGTTCCTTGTTGAGTCAATTTTACCAATTGTTGTGGCAGCTATGCTTTCATTAAAAGGTATAATAATGATTGAGATGATTAGGTCAAATATAAGCAATTTAATAATTGATGCCTTTAATGTATGGTATTGCATTGACTTCTACACAAAGATCTATGATGATTAAGTTAGTAGAAGAGAAAAGTAAAAGGTATAAAGAATTACAGAAAGTAAGTATATAAATAAAAAACTTATTAGATTATGGGTGTGAAGGATAATGCATATCTTTATGGTTGGGTAATAACTGGTTATATAAGAATTGCAATTGTAAATATAATGGTTTTAATTTTAGTCTTTAATAATATTTGAAGTATGTTGGTATGTATGTAATATAGTTTTTAATATTGATTGGGATGAAGAATTTCATATATCTTTTTTATCTCTATTATGGCCTTATGTATTATTTGCTTTTGCTGTAAGAATATATATTAAATACATTAGGCAATGAATTAGAATTTTTTTTTATCAAGTTTATTTAATGAAGTTAAAATTGCTGGTGAAATGTAATCATTTATATAGATTGCTTTTATTTTTTTCATATATTTTTCATTTGTAGAAAAGTTGGCTGATAAGATGATATTTTATATTTTTTTGACACTTATAAGTCCATAATGTGGAATATCCTTTTCGTATATATCAGCAATGAATAGTTAAAGTGGAAATGATTTAACGAAATTGAATTTATTCCCAACTGATATAATTAGTAGTACATATTCAACTTAAATGGCTGGTATTCAATTAGGAGTACAATTAATTGCTTATTTCATACTATTTTTGTATTGTGAATAAGTTGTTCCAAATGAATATGGAATAGCTAAACATCCTTTATTTATATTTGGAGTCTCTTATTAGAAAAAAGCAAAAGTTAGTTAATTAGATTATGAAACTACATTGGAAATTAATAATAGTAATACACCTTTAAGTTCTGCTATGTATACAGAGGAAATAAAAATGAATAAATCACCAAGTATAACAATTTAAAATTTGTTAAAAAAATTTGGAGATTTGAATGCTGTTAATAATATGAGTTTATCTTTATATGAATCTTAAATATTCTGTTTACTTGGTCATAATGGAGCTGGTAAGACAACTGCAATTAGTTTACTGACAGGAATGATTTAAAAAACTTCAGGTTAAGTTATGATGTATGGAATGAATTTGGATAAATAATTATCAGAGATAAGAAAATCATTAGGATTATGTACTTAGAAGGATTGTTTGTATAATGAATTAACAGTGAAAGAACATTTAAAATTTATATCTAGTATAAAGGGTAGAATTGATAATGAGGAAATGATTTAAATTATGAAAACAACTGAATTATTAGAGGAATAAAATAAATAAGTTTAAGAATTATCTGGAGGTTCAAAAAGGAAACTCTCTTTGGCTATGAGTTTAGTTGGAGATTCAAAAATAATATTTTTAGATGAACCAACATCAGGTATGGATGCTTATTCAAGAAGATCTATTTGGAATATATTGGAGAGGATTAGAGAAGACAAAAGAACAATTATATTAACTACACATCATTTAGATGAAGCAGAAATACTTGCTAATAGAATTGGAATTATGTCAAAAGGTTAATTATTAGCAGTAGGTTCATCAGATTATATTAAAAGAAAATTTGGAGAAGGTTATAATTTAAAATTATCATTTGATGATGTAAATTTAAGAAAAACTATTTAAGAAAAAGTTAATTAAATGGTACCTAATAGCTTTTTAGAAACATAACATTCTAATAATAATAAACTTGTATTTAATATACCATTTTCATCAAAAGGAAAATTAAGTGATCTATTTTATAATTTGGAATCTTTAGATGTATAAATTGGTTTAGAGATGAAAACTTTAGAAGATGCCTTTGTAAAAATTGGACTTGAAGATGAAAAGAGTCATTTAAATGATGTAAGAAAAAGTGAAATCAAAATTGCTAAATTAAGTATGGGAATTCCAGATAATGATGAAGAAGTAATGGAATTTGAAAAAGAATATTAAGATATCGTTGAATAAAATTAAAACATTGAAAATAATAATAATATCTCTGAATTTCATTAAGAAAAACAATTATTGTAAGATTTTCCAGAATGTTTAAAAAATGAACCTTCTTATAAATTTTCTTCATAATTATTAGCAATATTCTTAAGAAGATATTATACTGTGATCAGAACAAGCACAAATTATTTTTCTATTATTATCCCTATGCTTACTTTTATTTTAGGTATGAGTACTGTAGCTGGTGTAGATTTTGATGTATTATTACATACTGTATTCCCTGATATGGATATTAATAATTTATAAGAAGCTGTTGAATTTTTCAAGATTTCATTACTTGCTAGTTGTAGTGTATTGGCATTTTGTTTTAATGCAACAGTCTACATAACTTAACCAGTCTTAGAAAAAGAAACATATTTAAAGTAAGCTTTAATAGGAATGGGATGTAGATCATTTCCATATTGGTTTGGAACTTTATTATTTGACTATATGGTATACTTATGTTATGTAGCCTTATTTTATATCATTTCAGCCTTATTGAAATTAGATATAGCTTTTAAATATTGGAAGACAGGATTATCATGTTACATATTATTTGGTTTCAGTTATATTTTATTTGCTTATCTTATGGGATTTTTATTTAAAACTCTTGAGAATGCATTAAAATTATATTCAATGTTTTGTTTCTTTGCTAATTTTTGTGTTCCTTTTATTGTAATAGCTTTTGTTGATTTCTTTTATTAAGAATTTAATAATGATATTGCAAAATTATTCATTTATATATTTTAAGTGCTATTTGTTGTAGTATCTCCATTTTATGCATTTTTTGAAGCATGCACATTTTTAGCAGATAATTTCTAAAAAATTTATGATTTATAATTATACAACACTCCATAATTAATTTAAAGAACTTATATATTTCAATTAATTTTATTTGGATAAATCATAATTTAAATTTTGATACTTTATTTAATAGAATCAAAAAGTTTTACAATTCCAAGAAATAATACAAATTAAATACCATAAACAGAATAATTAGAATAAGAAATTCTAGATGAAAGAATTAGAATTGAAAAATCTAAAAAATATGATCCTATTGTTTGTAAATATTTAGAAAAAGAATATATTAAAGATAAACCAACATTATAATAATTAACATTTGGTGTAAAGAAAGGTGAGATATTTGGAATTATTGGTCCAAATGGTGCAGGTAAATCTACATTAATAAATGTATTTACTGGAATTAATACACCCACTAAAGGACTTGCTTTGATAAAGGGATGTGAACCCAATTAAAGAAATCAAAAGGTTATGTAACATGTAGGTATATGTCCATAATTTGATTGTATTTGGGAGAATCTAACACCAATAGAACATTTATAACTTTTTGGTAGAATCAAAGGATTAAATGGATAGGATCTATAATCAGCAGTCAAATACTTTATTAAAACTATGTAATTGGACTTATTCGTAAAGACTAAGGCAGGATAATTAAGTGGTGGAAATAAGAGAAAACTATGTGTTGCAGATGCTTTAATAGGAGGAAGTGATATTACGTTTTTTGATGAACCAAGCACAGGTGTAGATCCTATTTCAAGGAGATTTCTCTTTAATACACTATAGAGAAATATTCAATTAAGAAATTGTTCAGCTATAATGACTACTCATACTATTGAAGAGGCTGAAAGTTTAAGTTAACGTTTGGGAATATTAATAGCTGGATAATTTAAATGTTTAGGAACTCCATAATATCTTAGATAGTATTTTATTAATTTAATAAATTTAGAAAATATAACAAAGGATATCAAATTGAGATAAAACATAATAATGAATAGATATAAGAAATAGCTGATTCTGTTATTAAAATGTTTCCAAATTCATAAATAATGGAAGATAAAAGAAATGGATTTATGACATTTAAGTTTGAAGATGAAGATTTCAGTTTTTATAGAACATTTTAATATTTTGAAAAGTTAATAAAAGAAAATTTAATTGTAGATTTTTAAATAAATGAAAAGTATATTTATAATTTATTATTAATTAGTTCACTTGAACATATATTTATTCATTTAAGTAAGATTTAATAGGAAATTAATGAAAAAGAGGGTTTAGTATTTGATTGAGAATCTAATTTATATTTGTAATTTAATATTAATATTTAAAAATTCAAACAAAAAAAAGAAAAATTAATTAAAAAAACTCAACAAAATCATTTAAGCAATTTTTTGATTTGGTCTCTTAATATTTCTGGACTTAATAATAATTATTATTATTGTAATTTTTAATTCTTTTTGATTTATTCAATCAATGATTTTGATAATTGTAATGATTTAGTTTGTACATTGAAAAGTATAATTTAATTGTAATTAAGCAATAAAAGTAACATAACAGATAATTATGTTATAAAATTATCTTAAGGATTATTATTTAAATAATCAACAAGACAATTAATAATAGATTTTAATTCTTTAATATCTTAAGGTGTATAAAGTTATTCTCTCACATTATTAATAGTTATTTTATGTTGATTTAATAAAGATTCAATATCTTTTTTTATTGATATATGATTTGGAATTAAATCAAATTAAATTTATATTATTTTAAGTAATTGTAGAATACTATTTTTTTATTAACTTATAGGAGACAATGTATTATCTTAGAAATGATTACTAAATGTTCTTTTTAATCTTAAATTTGAACTAGTATTAAAATAACCATTTGCTATTATGTAATTAAGTGGTTCTCTAGGTTTTTCTTCAATTTAAAATTCATTTACTTTTACAACATTTGATGAATTTTCTTATTCATGAACATATCTATTTGATGTATTTGTTGAATTAGATTACAAATTACTTGGAGTTCTAAATGAATCATTATTATTTGTAGAATATTTTTTATTTGGAAGAGGAGGAGTATGAGCATTTTCTAAATATTTAATAAGTTCAATTCTCTAAGTAGTAAATTTGATAAATGAATTATTTTTATCTCTTTCTGATTCTTGTGTATAGGTAGTAATATTTCTTTAAGGAGTGATTTTTCGATTATCAGGTTATAAATAAGAGATTTTAGTTTTTGTATAAAATTTACATTTCTATCTTTCACCTGATTTATCTATATCATTTGTTGGAGTTGCATTACTCATACTTCTATTATGTCTACTTACAAAATGATAAGTTCCCATACTTTCAGTTCTTTATTTGACTCTTTGATGTTGTTTGATTTCCACAAAACTTAAATTTTATTTAATTTATATAGATTCTTATTATTAACTTTGATATTAGGATTATGTATTTTTTTGAATAACAGGTAAAACTTGATTAATTTCTGGTAGAATTGTTTATTCTTACATTCCAACTAATTAAAAGAGTTAATCCCATGAAATTCTTTTATCTTCATTGATTTGTAAACATCCTTTGATGATCTTAATGGTTTATTCGGAAACTTTGGGATAAGTAGGAAATTCTAAAGGCTTGAGGAATAAAATAGAAAATTTACTTTGGTATCTAATTTGGCCATTAGTTCTACAAGATTTTGAGAATGCCAAGGAGTGATACCATAGATCAATTCATAAAATATGAGACCTAAGGACCAGATATCGCATTTAGATGTATAGGATTGTCTTTTTAAGATTTATGGACTCATGTAAAGTGGTGTACCTACTAATGAATTCATAATGGTATCAATATGAGAATCAACTTATTTGGCAAATCCAAAATCTGTAATTTTGAATATACCATCATGAATCATAATATTAGCAGGTTTAATATCTCTATGTATGATTCCTATTTTTAGTAATGCTTTGATGCCATGTAGTAAATCCTTTAAAACATTGATTGCATCATTTTCTGGGATTTATCTAATATTATAGTTTATCTTATACTTTCTCTTTTTAAGGTATTCCCTAAGATCACCACCACTACAAAACTCTGTAATGATATATGTATTATTCACACTTTATAAAACATCAATTAATCTAACAATATTTTTATCTTCAATCAATTTCATTATTTCAATTTCAGATGCAATGAGTTAACTTGCATAATCTGTTTATAATATTTTCTTATCCACTATTTTTAATGCAACAATCTTATCTGTAATAGATAACAATTAAAAATTACTATCAATAATGTTTCTGCCAGCATAAACAGTACCATAGGCACCCTTTCCTAATTTTGCTTTGAAACTAAATTGATAATTCTGAATTTTCTTATCTGGAGGGTATTATAGAAATTACATTTTGAATTTGAAAAATAATTAAAAAACAACGAATGTAATTTGCGCAATTCTTTATTCAAATCTCAATTATAATAAATATTCATTCATTAATATTCATAATTACTTATCCATTTTTTATCTATTTTAAAACTTAAATCTTATTGTATTTTAATATTTTATTATTATATGTAACCTATATCTAAAATTTTATAATATATCAAATATTAATTGATTTATTAAATATCAATAAAATGTATAAGTAATTTTATATGAAATCTAAATATCTATATATTAATACTAAATTTATTATAAATTATAATTTATATTATATAATATTAAGTTTAAAGATTTTAATTCATTTAATCAATGAAAAAATAATTCGGTCATCAATTTCATTAAAATATAAATTATTATTTAATATTTACATATCTAAAGAAAAATCTAGAAATTAGATTATCAAAGAAATTGATAAAACTTTTATATATCATAAAATCTTAACTTTAAATTTGATATCCTAAAACCTTATCTTTAATAATATTATATATTAAGAAATGCAAGTAGTTCCTTGAACATGTCACAATCTGACTTCCAAGAGAAGGATTATAAACATTTGATGATCATACAGAATTAGCAAAACATCCAGCACTATATACAATCAAGGAAATTGAAGGTTTAATTTAACATTAAGTTGAATAGTCTAATATACTGATGAACATATCATTAATCCAGTCTTCAAGTATGCTGATGCCAAGGGAAACACCATTGATGGTCATGATATTGAAAAGTTCAACCTTTTGGACATTGGTAAAGTGCACAAGAAGCATTTTAAGATTGACAATTATAATCATTAGATGATGAAATTTTTGAAATTACAGGATATGCTGTTACTAGAATTAACGAGTCGAAGTTCAAAATCTATAAAGGAAAAGAGGAATCTTTTGGTATTAAGAATGGTGTTCATTTCATTTATTCTTTCCCTGGACATACTTTTGGAGATGTCTCAGGTGATTATGAAAAACATTTGGATTTCATTAAATTTCTTGTTAATGAACTTCCTCCTACTAAACATCATTTGAAAATTATCATTGTCAAAAGTTGAATTATTAATTATATAATAAAATATGCATTCATCAATTAATAATACAACTATTACATCCAATCCAAACTGTTAAAAATAGAGATGCTCTAGAATTGATGTAATCAATTAAATTATTGCTAAAAAATAAGTTACCAATGATAGCTTATTTTAACTTAAATTCTAGCAATTTTATAGAGATAGAATGGAATTAAACAAAATTTAAAAGAAAGACAAGTTTGAATTGCATGATTAAATACTTAGACTATATAAAAACAATTAAGTGGCTTAATAAATCAATCTAACTCTTTTTGCCTAAGACAAAATGTATACCTAACCATTTTCAAAACCAATTAAAACATCAGCTGAAAGAAGAAGACCAAGATCACAATCAACTCATAGAAATATTGTTAATTCACCTAAAATTACAAGACCAATATTAGGAGATGTTTTGAGAATCTCTCCTAAATATATTACCAATAGAACAACTATTTCATCTAAAAATGATATAAGATCTGTTAGAAAAAACATATTTTTAGATGCATTGATCCTCTAATAAGAATCCTAAGATTTATTCTGATATTTTTTATCAGAATTGAGTGGATGTTTATAGCTGATATACAAATAAATTCTCAATACTATTAAAACTAGATATGTCAAATAAATCTGTTTACAATTAGAGATTTTTCCATCTTTATTATTATCTAATATTTCTATAACTTACTCAATCTTGTATTATCTTTTCAATATCTTTTAAAAATAGTTTATCTATCATCTAAAACTAAATCTCATAGTCATCTTTGTTAATCTCATGGATCAAAATTAACAATTATTTTGAGATTGATTCCATATTTTCAATTAATTCAATATTAATTTCAATATGTTCCAATATTCATTATCACTAATTCTAAAGTCACTAAGTTCAGTTACATTATGATTTTGCATTTCTTATAGTGAATTTGACATTGTTATTTTTTATTAGATCTATCAATTAATATTATTAATATTATAATAGTCCTCTTATTTGGTTTTGATATAATATTCAACGCCTTTTCTGAAACCTACATTAATAGTTTTTTTAGGAATAATATAAAATTGTATATTATTAAAGGCATACATAATTAAATTCATTTATGTTTTCCTAATCTTCTTCTAGAATTAACTGTTTCTGAGGCTGTATATCATTCCAAATTACTTTAATAATAAATTAACTCTTGTTTAATTTTAATTTTCATCTTTAGAAGTATTAAATAAGATACTTTATTCCTATAAATCAATAAATTTACAGGAATAAACTTGAATTTGATATAAATATTTTTTGAACTTGATTATTTTTTTGAATTTTATTTGATTGGCATTTTAATTGATTCAAAAATTTAAAGATGAGATTAAATAAATGATATAAAAAACCATAATTAACAATTTAAATTATTTATAATGTATCACAATCAATTTAATTAATTTTAAGGTTAAATTTAAAACCTTAAATTGTAAGGGTCGTTTTTTAATTAATTAAATGAATTTACGTATTAATTTTCAAACCCAGAATTCTATACTTCTATAGGATTTTATTTGGATTAAACTTAAAAGCCATTCTTTGGAGAATTAAATCCTTGAATATTTGTTTATGGAGAATAATAATCTTGATTTTATTCTGTAAACAAAGATTTCTAATTACCTATACTTAATTGAGGATCAGTATTCCAAGAATATTACTATTTAAGAGTTTGTTAAAAATTGAATTTATGAATTTCATTTTCCAAAGTTCTTATTTTAGAATCTAATTATAATTATTTATCCTAATTTTATTAAATTAGAATTTTACTCTTTCTCGACCCAATTCATTTTATAAAGAAATATTCCTTTCAGACAAAAGTGCATTTTAAGATCTAAAATTTAAAATATCTCTATCTCTTAAATCACATTAATTTTATATTCTACGTAATTCTTCCATCATTTATTTAAGTTCTTGATTTAATAACTATTTCTCTTATTCTAATCTATCTTACTGTTAATATGAATTTTGAATTTGAACTTAAAGTGTAACAACATCTACTTCTTTATATTTACAATTACCTCTTTCTAAAGAATCAGCCTTTTTTTCATAAGCTAATATATCTGTGTGCATTTCTTTTAATTTTCCTATTGAAATAGTTCTTTCATTTTTTAATTGATTTTGGATATCTAGAGCTGATTTTAATTAAGTTTCTGACTTAATATAATCATTCTCTAAATTCTTTATAACAATGTCCCTTTTCTTTACTTCTTATTCTAATTAAATCCCATAATTTTTCCATTTTTCTAGTTACACTTTTAGATCTGAAGATAACATCTATAATTTTTATTAACTATCTTCTAAACTCTTTTCCAACTAAGTACATTTATTTTATATTAATGTATTTTATTAAGTAATTGAATTTATTTATTCTTTTAATATCTTTATTTCTTAATCCTATTATTAGCATTTAGTTACTAATTTAGTATTTTCAACTTTACAACTTGAAATTGCCGCATTACTTTATTCAATTTATCTCTATTCTATTATATAAATAAAATAAAAATACATTCATTTAATTATTGATTCATCTATCCTATTTTATTTTCTTACTAAATATTTAGATTTTGTGAAATTTGTAATTCTTTCTCTTTTTATTATAATTGATTAATTTAATTCTTCAATTACTCATTTTATAAATTTAGATTAGATTAGCTTTTTTATAAATTACTTATTTAATCTTTTGCTCCTAATGATATTTAATTTAGCTTTTAATTAAGCATTTAGTTTTATTCCTGTTCTTGATTTAAATCTTTATTGATTGAATCTAAAGCCATTTTCATTTTTCGATTATCATTTAATAATTACTCATTTTTTAATACTTCTGATTCAAATCCCAAAGTTTAATCTCTTAGTTATGATTTATATTTTTCAAGAATTTCTTTTTAATTCTATAATTCAGATTCTAAAAATGCATTTGATCTTTTTTATTCTAAAAGTAATTTATTTACACTTATAATTTACTAATCCAAATCAATAATCTTATATTCAAGTCCTCTATTTAATTCTACTTATTTCTTCAATTTCTGTACATCTATTAGCAAAAATTAATCTTCTTAAACAATATTTGTCAATCTTTTATTTTCATTTTATAAAATCAATATTTGATCTCTAACTTAATATTTAATTATATTACTGTAATTCTTATGTTTCATTCATATTTGATTTGTTTCTTTAATTCAATTGTATACTACTTTTTACATAAATAAAATTACTTATCACTCTTTAGTCTTTGATTTTCTTATTCGATAACTCTCTATTAATACCTCATTTTATCTATTTCTTTAGTTAATTTTTGTATTTGTTCTAATTATTCTTAATCTTTCATAATTGTTTATTATCCCATCATAGGGTAGTCTAATTAAGAATGTGAGGATAATTTAGAACCTAATTATTAATTTCTATTGCATATATTGATTATACTCTTTACTTATTTGGTTATTAAGATGTTTAAGGAACTGATCTATAAATATTACAATATATCATTCATTACTCATTTTACTCTAGAATATTTTGATTATAACCATTTAACGAGTTAGATGTTCCTAATTATGGATTCGAGATGGGTTTGCTTCTATCTTAAAATGGTATTTAAGATTGCGAATTTGTTTCGAAAAACTGACTCATGTAATAAATATTTCAGAAATATTTTTATTTATATAAAAAGGGTTAAGCTAATAAATATATATAATATTTATACTTAACAAAATAAATTATTCTCTTTCTTTCTATTGAGAGTATCTTCAAAGAATTTTGACTATTTTAATCAAATTGTTTCTTTTAATAAATCTAAATAAAAATCAGTGTATTTGTAATATTGTTATTATTTGTTTCACTTAAATCAGAACTTTCTTAATTCAAAATTATGAGTTTTTACTCATTCATTCAATTTTCTCTCTTAATTTTTCAATATTTTGTAACTCCTTTTTGGATTCTTCAATAGGCAGGAATATGACCTAGAAATAAATAAATATTATTTATTATCAATTAAATCATATGAGCATTTTTAAGGTAGAATTAATCTTTTATCTTTGAATCTTATATCAATTAAAAAGGTTACTATTTAAATTATGTTAAAATTAAAATTTGAATATCAGCTCTTAAATGTATTAATTATTTTGAATATCTTAAAATAAATTATTACTTTAAAAGAAAAAGACCAGTAAGTTATGTTTTTGTATTTGACAAATATATGATTCAATAATACATCTCCCATAATTGCTTTATAACCATAATAACATTTAAATGTAAGTAAACTAAGTTAATGTAGACTATAAAAATTCTCATAAAATTTTATAGATTGAATAAAATCCAAAAGTGAATGATAAATAATTTATCAATGAAGCATGAAAAAATAAATAAAATCTAATTCATTATGAGAGAGTATTCTAAATTTAGTTTTAAGATTATATAAATTTGTATTATATGATGAAGCCTATCCATTTACATATATAACTACAATTAATTAAACTGTTCATTAAAGATAAAAGTAATGATATTTAAGTTGTATAGCTTGATTAAATAATGAAGATTTCTTAATGATATAATTATATATAATAATTTTACAGTTTAATAAAAAATGTTGTTCCTTTTTTGTTTAAGGTGCATATATATTTATCTATTTTATTAATCAAAAAGATATGTTTATTTACTTTGTATTCCATTTTGTTCTTTAAATCATTATCTACTTTTACTTTACCTTATTTTAATTATCTTTAAACATGTCTTGTGTTATTTTAGATTAAAATAGTTTACAATAAATAAATTTATATTAAAATAGATCCTCTTATCTCTAATAATCAGTCAGATTATAATATTTAATTCAGAAACTTATTTATTAAATATACAATTGAATGATTAAGTGTAATAATTATATGATAATAGAATAAATAATAGATCATTTATGTAGACTTGATTAAGTCAATGTTAATATCTCAAATAATAATAAATTTAATTTGTAAATAAATATATTAATTGTTGTATAATGCTACTTAATTCAACAGGTTAACGAAAACTCAAACAAAATAGTTTGTCTACTTTTAGAAGTCCAATAGTAGTTCCATCGAGTTAATAAGTTTCCCCTGTAGCTTCTGGACTCAATAGTTTTAAAAATCTTCATAGTCCAAAAGGTTCTTAGATTGATGTCACTAATCTAACACGATTAATTAAATCAACCAAGATTAATGAGGTAAAATATCTTATATAGGATAGTCAGTAAATAGCCAATAGATATAAGCTTTACTTGCTAAAGCTAGAGAAATAGCAAAAATAACGACAGAGTCTAAATCATAAGTAGCAAAAAAGCATGTTAAATTACAGAGTTAATAATTTGTAAACTTTAAAGACTTACTTCATAATTCTACTTCAAGTAAGATCTAACAAGAAATGTTATTCTGCAGAAATGCATTTAATTTTGAGTTTGTCATTGGAATTGGTGGATTTGGTAAAGTATGGAAAGTTGAACACAAAAAAACTGGTTAAATATTTGCTATGAAAGAAATGTCAAAAGCATTGTATAAATTCAGTGTTATTTAGAATTGTAACAAAGAAGAGTGTCCATTCTGTTATGAATGAACGAACATTATTAAGTTAATTAAAGCATCCATTATTAGTTAATATGAACTTTGCATATTAGGATAGAGAAAATCTATATTTATTGATGGATTTTATGAAAGGAGGTGATCTTAGATATCACATAGGGAGAATGAGAAGATTTGATGAAAACTCAACAAGTATTGATGCAATACTATTAATAAGAGTTTTTTATAGCCTGTATTGTATAAGGATTAGAATATATACATTCAAATAAAATAATTCATAGAGATATCAAACCTGAAAATTTGGTACTTGATGAAAAAGGATATGTACATATTACAGATTTTGGTATTGCTAGAGTCATCAAACCTGAAAATAGTTGTGATACTAGTGGCACTCCTGGGTATATGGGTAAGAAATATAATTTTATATTTTTAGCTCCTGAAGTTATGTGTAAATAAAATCATACTTATGCAGTTGATTATTTTGCTGTTGGTGTTATTGCCTATGAATTTATGATAGGGAGAGTAATTATAATATACTAATCTAGAGACCTTATGTTGGAAGATCAAGATAAGAAATTAGGGATTAAATTTTAGCTAAATAAGCATAAATTAAAAGAAATGAAATACCAGATGATTGGTCACTTGAAGCAGTTGATTTTATTAATAGGGTAATTTTATTAGCAAATATATTAGCTTCTTCAACGTAAACCATAAAATAGATTGGGATTTAATGGAAGTTAAGAAATTAAAGAACATCCTTGGTTTACTAATTTTGCATGGGATAAATTATAGAATCAATCATTAATTCCTCCTTTCATTCCTAATGTATTTATAATAAATTATCATTAAAGTAAACAGAAGATAATTTTGATTAAAAATAAATTATTGTAGAAGATGAAGAAAATAATGAACTAATCTAATAAAATATTTTTGTCTTGAGAGATTAACTTATTTAAGGTAATTATTTTTAATATAATTATAGATCAATTCTAAGGATATGAATTTCATTAAGGACATCATTCTACTTCTACTGAATAATCTTCTGGTTCATCAACTAAACATAGTCGTCATCTAAGTGATAGATTGCAATTCTTTGATAAAAAGAAAATCATATGATCAAATTTAGTTTCAAATTTTTACATCATTTCATAAATAATAAGATAATATTAAACAAACTAATAATATATTACATATGGATCTAATTTATCAATATTTAGTTTCATAATAAGTACTAATTAAAAAAAAAAACCTTCTAAAAATTTGACTTTATCATTATTCTTAAAGACATTCTTACTTCTCTTATAGATTAGTAAGAACTTTGCTTTTCAAGAGAAAAACAAAGCTTTAATAGTCTTTTTCAATTTTTAAATTTAAATTTTAAAGCTCTTCTAAAATCAATTGTAGATGATCTATATTATTACATATCTAATATCTCTTCTTAAAGGTCTAAATTTATGAGTTGAGAGAAGTAGGGTTGTTGAGGAAACTTTTTGGCTCGTTTTTTATATATTCAAACATTAACTTTATCTTTGATAAAATGTAAAATACTTAATAAATTCTTTGAAAAATTTTAATCAATTGGAAATACAAAAAATCAGTGGTTTCAACAAATGCTAGGGACAATTATAGTAATTTTAATTCCTTTAAGAATCATAATAAATTTTGATCAAATTAATCCAATCTATGATTAGAAATTAATTAATGATACTCATGAGATTGATCATCCTACCTAATTAATCAAGGATTGATTTTTATTCAATCATAAGTACATGTTTTTACAATTTATTATTAATAAATGTAGGAATAGGTACTTTTGATTATTAAATCTCATTGTATTACCATTTCTAAACAAATTAGGTGTGCTTACTTGAAAATTATTCAAAAACATAAACAAAGATACAAATTAGCATAACCTTTTTGGATCCATTTTAGAAGTCATCAAAGATGTCATCCAAGAATATTTACTCAAATGGAGATTCTATATTACGTATCTCTTTATTTCAATTATAGTTCTCACAATTTCAATTGTAAACTAAATAAAATTTTACCAATTTCGGGCTCTATTGAGATTTTTGACTACGAAATAAACTATACCACATTGAGAACTATTAAGAGGGTATTTTTTACGCGCCTTAACTTTTTGAAAAAGATTTTTTAACATTATAAATCCTGTTTAAAGAACTTTTTATTTCATAATTAAACATATGAATTCTACTCCTTTTGTAATGGAAATAGAGAGTGAAGATGTAAATTCTCTCTAAATATCTGATTTAACTCTCAAAGAAAGAGTCAATCAAAACAAAACAATGTAGAGTGTTCTAGATGGAGAGAATATATTTGACTATCTGAACCTTTCAGATTCCCCTTAGGAAAGAGCTAGCTCATGTGAAATGTTTTAGGATACTAATAAAATAACAACTAAAAAGGACAACTTCATCATCATAAAAAAAAATGATCTCAAATAATATCAATGTGGATATTGTCAAAGGCTTTTTCCTTATTCTTGTAGTCTTGGAGGACATATTCAAAAACTCCATAAAATAGAGAAGAATTAGAAGGCCAGTCTTCCATCAATAAAATTGAGAAAAAGACCTATTAGATATTGATAACATTGAATTTGAATTCAAATATCCAAATCAATATATTCATTATATTCATTTTTTTGAATGGAACAAATTCTAATTATTATAATATTCTCATTATTGTCTTATTATAATCAAAAAAAATAAGATATTTTGAGAATAACTAATGTGATATTATAAATTAGAATAAATTTATAAATTATTAATCAGTTAAAAATAAGAATTATGAATTTAAAATTTTAGATTCATGTATGATTTAAAGAATGTATTCATAATTCATTAAATGATTTAGATATATAATGATGTAATTTGTTTAAAACTATCATTTTTACTATATAATAAGTATTATATGGTAAAAATGATATCAATTTAGATAAAATAATAAGTTTGCAAGTAGACATTATACTTACTTCACTTAAAACTTTTGAAATTATAATTTTTTATTATTTAATAGAAAATTTATATGAATCAAACTATCCTAAACAAATAATAAAGAATAAAAAAATACTCTTAATTATTTTAATACGAATTACATTTTATTCTATAAATTATTTATATTGATAATTCTAATTATAATAACTCATTATTACTTTTATATGATTACAATTAAATTGATTTTTTTTTTGAAGATAAACATTAATTTTAAGCATATTTAATGATATATCTAATTATATATATAAAGAATTATTCATAATTTTTTTCACATAAAAAAGAATTATGTTAGATTAATTAGATATATTACATGTTAAAAAAAACCATATTCTGTTGTGGAATATTATTTATTTTATTTTAGTAAAATAATGGTTTATTCATAATTTGTTTGAATATAGTATTTGATTTTTATATGATTCATTTATTTTGTAAGATTTCAAGATTATTAGTACTCAAAATTATGGTTGATACATCAATTTGTAAAATAATTAATTAAATTTAATAAAATATTATTTATGGATTAATAATTAGAATAAGTGAGTGTTGATATTCAGAAAATTGTATATAAAAAAGCAATGTTACATGCTTGTAAATATTCCACTGAAGATGTTATTGGTATTGATTAATATAATGATATAGGAATTTTGATTGGTTAAATTAATGATAAAAATATTAATATTGTAGATGCATATCCTTTATTTCATTCAAGAGTTAGTTTAAACATTTTGGAAGTATCCTTAGATATTGTAATTGAATGTCCAAATCATAAAATTAGATATCAAGTGAATTGTAAAGTGATAGAAAAATTATTGGAATATATGAGGCTAGAGCAAATTCTAGAGGAATTATGAGTGAAATAGCTTAAGAAATGTTAAATAGTATAAATTAAAAATAATCAATTTTGATGAGAATTTCATAAATTGAGGTTGATGATAATCTTGTTTTAAATGCTAAAGTATAATTTTGTATTATAATTGTAAAGATAGTTTCTTTGAATGAGAATATTAAATATGTGATTAATTCTTCAAGTACTTTAGAGTGGAAGATTATTTAAGATTGTTTAAAAGCTGGTCTTCATTGGAAAATTATAGATTTTGATGCTCATTTTGAAAATGTATAATTAAATTTCCGAAATCAGTATTTAGAATGAATTATATGAAATAGGTTTATAATATTCATCTTTACTTCCTCTATAAAACTTAATTACTTATATCTTTGTAAGATTCGCCATACATATTCTCTGCTTTGATACCAGTCATAAATCCAGTATATCCAACAATAGGAGGCTTTTGTGTTTCATACTAGAATATAAATGTCTAGTACAGTTTATCTGAATTTATCATTAGTTTCAAGCATAGTCTTTGCCATTTCTTTATCAATTTGATTTAAGGGATGTACAAAAGGTTAAGGTTTTTCAGGAGGAACAACTTATTTTAATGGATGTCTAAACACTGGTCTGAATCCTTGATATCCAACAACTGGTAATCTATCAATAGGAGGAATATCATTAATTGTTTTAGGCATAGATCTAAGAATTACAAATAAATTAAATACTAGTATGTGCGATAATTTCTTTCATTAATAGCTTTTTCTTATCTATTAGCATCTTCTAAAATTCTTTCAGCAGCAGTTTGAAGTTATGGTTTTCTTAGATTTGGTTCCTAGATAACTGTTAAATTGATACTCCAAACTCAATCTTATAACTTGTTTATAATCTTTCTCTCTCTTCAGAATTTGTACATCTAGCTAATCTGTCTTCCATACACTCAGCTGTTATCTTTGCAAAAGGTTTTCCATATTATGATTCTAAAATATATATAATTAAATACCAGCTTTTAATCCTCTAACATGTCCAGCATAACCAGGTAAGTGTTACTTTTATAATTCATAAGTAGGACCACCAATCCATGTTTATCCTGTCACAACTTATTCTGTAGAAGGAATCAATTAAATGGTTTTCATTTATTTATTAATATAAATATTTTATGATAAATTAGGTATATTAACAATTAATCATTTCAAATTAAACATTTTTGTTTCTTGTTATATTTTCTTAAATTTTGTTCTTGATATTAAAGTATTACTTTTGGGACTTAAAAACTTTTAACTGGTTGTTAATTTTATAGGTTATAATAATTATTGATAAAGTTCTGTTCCTCTAATTTATCCATTTGACATTAAGGATGTCAAGATTTATTCAGATCGAGTCAATAATATTAATTAGTATTATAATTGATTTTTCATATTGTTTTTTTTTTAAAACATAAGTACTTCTTAAACTCTTGGTAGAGATTCCCTCACATAAGGTAAAGTAGTTTCTTTTTTATCAATTAATTTATCTTTCAGTTTTTTTAATCTAATTTACTAAATTGCAATAGGTTTTAATGGTATTTTATCTAAACATGTCTTTTATGTATTTCTATTAGTTAAAATAGCTTTCTGAGTATCTAATGTTTAAGTTTCGATTGATTATTCTAAATTTTCTGAAGTTTAAATTGGTAAATCCAAAATAACTTTTGTATTTGGATCATTTTGTGAATTTTATTAATTCAATTTTTAAGCTTTTTGATATGCAAATATTTTTTTAGGATATTTTAAAGTACTTGGACTAAGAATTAGAGATTATTAAAGATCTAAAGATTTATAAGAAGCCTTATATTTTGGTATTGCTCTTAAGGGACTTTGAGTTAATTAATGTTAATGATCTAAAGGTAACATTTTTTAAGATACTGTCTATTAATAAGTAGTTTCCATAAAACCATATGGTGTCAATCTTAAGGAATGTAACTTTGGTGATTCAGGATCGAAATCAGGTAATTAATCCTGAGATCTTTCATTCTAATTTGTACATGTAACAACTTCTTAATATTATTGTTCATCTTCCTATATAGGTTTATAAAGAAGAGAGTCGTTTTCTTTAAAGACTTCTGTTTGATGTGGACTAGATTATTTTGAAATTTGTTCATCTATAGTGATTTTTTTATTTTATTCAAGTACAATATCTTTATTTTTTTTATCATATATTTATTTAATAGAGGAACAGAATATTTTTTTGATTTCTTTTAGTGAACTATCTTAAATGTCATCATTGATATTATCATAGTTTTTAATAGATTATTAATATCTTTTAATAGTGTATTAAATTTATTGGTTTCTTTACATAAGTTTATTCATTCTATAATCAAATGAATTTTTGAGCATATCATAATTGAGAATAGGTTAGATGAGAGTAGAATTCATAAATTAAAATGATGGTACATCTTCTAAACTAGTTATACTTTAATAAAGTTCTTTATTTAGAGGTCTTGCAGTAGATTTAGGAAATGGCATTTTCAAATTAAGAATTAAGTAAGGATTTAAGAAATCAGAGTTCTTAGGATAGAAATATTTATCTTGAATAGTTTATATCTATTCAAGATCTATTTTGTAATTCATTATTTTTGGCATGATTGGTTCATCTACAGTTTTAATAGATTTCGTTATTTTTGATACTTCAATTTAAAGACGAGACTACAGATAAAAATGAATTGTATACACGTTGTTGTTTGAAAACATCTTCAATGGTTACACCACCATAGTTAATTTACTTTAAAATCTATATAAATTTGATGTGGTCTTTAATGTGGATTGCAGAATTAGCAGGAAAGTGTAATTTGAAATATGAGAATGATAAATTTGCAATTTATAGAAAGTTATTCTGAAAATAGTCTAAGTCTAATTATGGCCATCTTTCGGTTTTTAATATTTTATTTTCACTTTATTAGTTTTGAATATCAAGTTTTAAAATTTGACTATCTGATTCTATTACATTTTCACTTAATTAAAGCATTTTTGATAATAGAATTAGGTGCTCTCTTTTTAGAAATAATGACAAAATTTTTGTTTTCATGAAATAAATATATTTATTTACAAATATTAGGAAATAAACTATCCAATAAATTAAACATAAAGTATAGAATACTAAATAAAATTAGTTTTAGTATTTTAAATTGAGTTTTATATCAAAGTATATAATAAATGAGAGTAGATTATCTAATAAATAGAGTATGAGAAATAAAATATATAAATATAAAGAAATATTAATAATAAAATTAATCATGAGATCAAATTCATCAGCTTACACACCATAAAATCCAGAAATCTTTCATAAAGGACATATCCATTTCTTTGATTTATTGTCATCATTTCATGGTTTGGAAGATTAACCAGACTATCCAGTTTAATAATAAACAATTTAGGATAAATTAAGACATTAATATCTTCATGATAATAATTGGGAAGATAGTAATGCAATTTTAATATGATTAGAATTATGTTATAGAACATGCTTCAAAATTTAAGAAAAAGAGTATGTTTAATTCTGTTTAGACAAGAAATGTTAAGGCACTCCTTATTTGAAGGCAGCTCAAGTTTTGGGATATGTTAAAACTGGAAATCCTACACCTAAAGCTCATGGTCATCATCATCATTGATATAAAATATAGCATTCATTAATACATATATAATAATAATAATAATATAAAAATTACTTAATATTCATTAAACAAATGGATTGATTATTATATATCATATATACAATTTAATTGTTATAATAATGAAAGAAGTACTTTTATTTTTATAAACTAATACTTATTATTATTATTATTAATGAAAAATATTTTGAGTTATTTTTACGGATCATCTGTAAATTTTATTAACTATTTTTAGGAAAGTAAAAATACTGATGTTAAAGATCCTAAGCTTGATTAATAATTTGAAACATTTATTTTTGAATTTACTTCTAATGAATATTTCCCTCTTTATGAAAAATGGACAAAAGGAGAAGAACAAGAATACATAGGTTTTTTGTTATTCCTAATTTAGATTTCAAATTGTAAGACATAGAAGATATTTATTTAAATAACTATGATTAATAGCTGAAATTTTAATAAGAAGAGACAAACTTAGTAGATTATATTGTATAAGAAGATGACACTTTATTTGGATTAGAATTGAAATTTAATATCAAGTATTCAAAATGTTAATAATAAAGTTAGAACAGAATTTTAAAAATAAATGATATTTCACCAGAATGTTTTGTTCCTGGAATGAGAATTAAAGTTCCTGCTGTCTAATAAGAATAAAGTTAACCTTTCTTTTAAGAAAATGAAATTAATGATTTATAATTCAATTAATCATCATTTTATGGAAGAAACTTAATGGATGAAATAATGTCTAGAGGTTAAACAAAAAAATGTATATTCCATTTAAAATTTATAGTTAATGTTTATTATGTGACTAATTATGGTTGTATAGAAGGAGTTTTAACAGTGAATAGTGATGTCATATTATTTGATCCTAGTTTTGTTGATAGAAATAAAGAATTAGTTTAAAAATGTCATAGTAAAAATATTAATTAATATACTAGAATAAAGTATTCTCAATTTTTAAGCTTGTCTTATGACTGAAGATGTAATATCAGTTGATTTAAATGAATTACCTATGAGAATAGCAAAATCTACTTCAAAATGTTTCAAAGATTATTTAGTAATGGTACATATAAGTGCAAATGTTTCTTGTAAAAAATTACTTGAAATTTTGCCTATTCTAACTTTTAGAGTATATGTGTTTTCATAATAATATCTAGATTTAAAATGATGATGATCAAAAAGAATTCAAAATTTAAAGTATAGATTTATGTGAAACTTTGGCTGATGTAGTTAAAACAAAATCAGAACGAATGTTAGATGAATAGAAAAAGAAGGAATAAGATTTAACTATTATTCCTTTTTATGATGTTTAAGATGATACTTTAATTGAAAAATTTATATAAAGAACTAATTAACTTTGGGGCGGATAGGATTTTATTCCATAAATGGTTTCAGAATCTTAAATTTTAGATAATGATGAAATGATATAAGTAATTATATTTTAATTTAGATAATTGCTAATGTTCCATCTATTTTTAAAACATCTAATTGGAAATTAATATTTTCAAATGTTATACACGGTTCATCTTTCTTGACATTGCTTAATAATTGTGAAAACCATTCTCCATTAATTTTAGCAATTAAAGATTTTAATGACTGTAAATTTGGAGCATATTTAAATGAAACTCCATAATTAACATTTGGTAAATTCTTTGGAAATGGAGAAACATTTCTTTGGACTTTTAAAGTATTTTTCATATCAATTAAATATCTTAGGAAAATGATTTCAAAACTTATAATTGGGCTGAAACAAATAATTATTTTATATTTTGTGAATCAGATGGTTTGGCTATTGGATGTGGAGAAAAATTTGGTTTATATGTGAATAATTCTTTGATGCATGGAAACACAAATTAATGTGAAACCTACAAAAACGAAATCTTATCAATCTCTAATGATTTTAGTATATAAATACTTGAAATCTGGGGATTAAGTGAATGATAATTGTTCTTATGATAATTCATTTTACCTGTTAAATTTAAGTAATCTTATTTCTATTTATTATTTTTAATTATTACAATTATCTACATCTTGTATTTTCAATATAAATATTCCTTAAACATTGGCTTGTAATTGATATTTAAAACATATATATTTTTATTTCCAGTTTTAATGAATAAATCTAGATTTTTATGTTTTATAAAATCCTTTTTGCAAATATTATATTTATTTAATTATATATATTGTATATCACAACATAGATTTTAAATAATACGCACTATTTGTAATTTTTATTCAAATCTGGAAAATTCCAATTTTTTTAATCTTAAAAATTAAAATTTCTCATGCTAGCTTAATCACCTAATTTCAAGATGAAATAAATGATTCCACTTAGTGTTCATTAGAAATATCTTATAGAAGATGAACCTAATGAAGAGATATTCGAATAAAAATGCATTAAAATATCATTTAACGAAAGAATGATTGTTTGTAATTATAAGCCTTGGCAAAAGGTGATCTAATTATAAAAAACGATTGAAAAATTAAAAGGACACAAAAATATAAATTGGATCAACCCTACTCTTAGTGGAGAATCTACAATTCCCTTTAAATCAATTTTAAAGAATTCATCTCAAACTAAACTTGAAATTTCTTATGAAAATTGATTTTTTTTTTCCATATTAACTTTATAATAGTATTTTCTATTATCAAAATTCATGATATCATATAATATATAATTCATTCTGGAAGGAAATTGAGAGGTTTCTTATATTGAAAATTAATACAATAACTTGATTATGTTTATAGTTAGGATTAAGGGAAAAAGAAGTGAATACTTATTTAAATAATTATTAAAAGAATAAAATTATATTCCAGTTGAACTTAATTATAAAATCTAATAATTAATTATAAATACATTCCTTAACTTTTCTAATAAAATTTAATAACATTTTTTAAAAATCGTTAATTTTTGAATTATAATTTGATAATTAATTATTTTTTATTTTAAATAGTGTATTCAAAATTCAAGCATATAAAACCTTATCAATAAACTAATTAAGGCTATTACAAATAATTAAAATATAGTAAATTTAATTTAGTCATCCTTCTCCTCTTCAAATGGTATATTTTATTTGGCTCCTAAAAGAACTATTTATTTGTTCAATTCTCTAGTTTCATTTATTATAACTTATTATAGATCTTAAAGAGTGCAAATATTTTATTCCATTTAAAAGTTTTGAGACATCTGCAAAGAATCTTTATATTTTCTTTAACTTATCATTGATTTCATAAAAGTAGAAACAAGAGTACTATCTCCATTTTAGATTTATGAGTTATGGGATGTAAACATAAGGATTCTTCTATCACTTGGTAAAGTAATCTTTATTCACTATTAGTACTTTTAAGGTAATACTAAAGAGACTGTATTAGATTAAATAATATTTGATACTTAGAGTATGATAGAAGGAAGATCTTTAATCTAATCTTTGAGCATTTTAAATTAATCCAATATTTCATATTAGTCATTAATTTCTTATGGTTTATCAATATTCATTGAGATTATCTTGACTTTAACAGTCTCTAAAATATTAAATAGTAAATACTATCGAAAATAGGCTATTTAGCAATCAATTTGTTTGTTTTACTTTCTCCTGCCTTTAATATCCCTACAAAGGGATATGATTTAATTTGTTCTGCAGCTGAAGACATAACTTTGAATGCAAGATTTCTAGAAATCATTTATTAGAATTTTCCTGATTATTTTTGGATGGATATTTAATTTTAATTTGAAAGATCCCAATTTTATCATTTTATGATGAAGTTTTGTATTTGAAACTTAAGACTGGATTTTATGTATGAAGATGCTCCAAGATTAAATAAGGTTTTTGATCATCCATAATATAAAATAATTTATTTAATTATGTCTAACACCATATGTGATATCGATTTTACATTAACTAGGAAGATTAAAATTTGATTTTAAGCAAATAATTACCTCTCTTATAATCGACTAATAATATTAAATCAATAACTTCTCTATCTATAAAAATAAAAATAATAAATATAAAATATCAATCCTAAAAGATAACGGTATAATTTTTATAGAAAATATAAGAGCAATATGATTTTTTTATTTTGTAAATGTATTATTTACTAGTATTAAGAATAAATTAACTAAGTTTGTATTTTCATTTAATAATATCAAAAATGAATCAAAATAAATTTCTAGATTTTCAAGTGATTCAAATGTTAATTTTATCAAATATCACCTAAGTTTTTAATTGGCTCTATTAAATTTATGGGTTAAATGATGATATTAAGGAATTGTGAACTATTATCTAAAATTTTTATGAATAAGAATTTTAGTCTAAGTCTTTAGATTTTTAGATTTCACTTAATTTTTAGATAATTTTTCATAGATTAAGAGTATTATAATTTTGCAGTATTTATAACATTAATAAAAATATCTTTCAGTTAGTTTAAAATAGGGATTCAGTAATATAAATGAGGATTCTTTTAGAATTATAGTGAAATTGAAATTGAATACAATAGATTAGTGTTAGATAAAGCTATAGAAAAAATGTAAATTTAATATAAATAAAAAAGTAATATATTATTATTATCTATATTATTTTAAATTGTGATGTCAGATAATCTTTAAGTGAAATATAGAAGAAGAAATTCACCTTAAGAAGGCGAATAGGATTTTACTTAAAGACAAGAAAATAAATATAATAAAATTCAAAGGTATATAATTATGAGTAAAAAGAAATGATTTGTAAGCTTATGTTTAATAACCGAAAATCAAACGTAATAGAGATGATTAGATAGAAGATCCTTAAGAAGATGATGATGAGAATTAATCTGATAAATTTGGTGGCTTCGTATTCACAAAAACAAAAAGTATGTTTTTTCTATTATTTAATTAGATGAACCCAAAAAATAGTATATCTATGAGCCAAAAAAATAATAGCCATCTTAATAAGAAAAGAAAGAATATTAACCAAAAAAAGATTAACAACCTAAGAAAAAGCCTGAGAAGAAAAGCAATAAGTTTTAGCAATAATCTTAACAATAGTACAAATATATTGTAATAAATTAGAAAAGAAATATCTATCTAATAATTAGGTGAATTAGAAAAACTACAATAACATCTGATTAATTGTGGCATTTCTATAACTTAAGATTAGGAAAATAGTCATTCTGATCTTGTTCTACCTCCTGATTTTAATAAACCATTATCAATTCCTAGTAAACCAATAGTAGCACCTCCTCCAGGTTTAGTAGATAAAGATAAATCTTCTGATTTTGTTGACATCTTAAATCAATTATAAGATAATGATTCAGATGGCTAAATGAATTATGATTAGCATTTTTCATCTTCAGTTCTTACTAGAGGAGCCTTTCCTATTTAAACATAAACATCAAATTAATTTAATAATTAAAAACCTATCCCTAACAATAATCAAAATTTTCCAAATAATTCTAATGATTAGAAAAATAAGGAGAAAAAGAAAAAAAATAAGAAGAAAAAACCTAAAAATAATAAAAATTAATTAGATATGCCTATGTTGAATAATTAACCTGACTTTATGAGTTAAAATTCTGCTGAAATCTTTGATCCATTTAAAGTTGCTCCGTTTTCATTTCCTTAATAATAAATGGGTAGAAATAATTTACCTGATCCTCTCAATATTTCAGGACCAACATTCACAACTCCTTTAGGATTTGCACCTCCTGGAATGATGGGTTTGGGTCCATAAATTGCTCCATTTAATTCTAATCTTTTAGGAGCTCCATAATCTTTAGGATTTCCTCCTGGTCCTTCTTTGGGTATGGATCCTTTAGAACCGACATTTCCAATGGGACCCAATTTAGGACCTATGAGAATGAATCAAATGATGCCTCCAAAATATAATTAGATGCCAAATATGGCTCAAATGCCTATGCCTATGTAAATGGCACCTCCTCCTTAAATGAAAAAGTAATCTAATAAAAATCATATGATGATGCAACCTCCTCCCAATTAATTTGATAATTAGGTATTTTGTCCTCCTATGATGCCTCCATCCATGAGTAATCATTTTTCAGATTTTGCACCAACAATGCCTATGGGATAATAGTTCCCTCCTAATTTAATGAATTCTGGACCTATATTAGGAATGCCTCCAATGATGCCATTTAGTGATGATTTTGATTAGAATTGGATGCCAAATGATGGGATGATATAAATGCCAAATCAGATGTAAGTATTTTCTAATTAAAACTTCTAAAATCTATCCTAAATCTAACATCCAGATTCATATATGTAAGAATCTGAAAATTATATGTCTTAAACTAAAAAGATGAATGATATAAAAAATGGAAATGGTAATAATATTGATCAAATCAATTAATAATGTTAAAATACAGATGGCTAACCAAAATAAAGAAAGTAATTATTAATCTATTTATTTTTTAGAAAATTAAACTTAAATTCTAAACCATTTTATCCAGTAAATCCTTGACTGCAAGAATCCCTATTGTTTAATAAATATATATATATAAATTAATATTATTAAAACTTTTTATTTAGAACTATAGAAATATTTATATAATGGAAGATCCCAGTTCAATTAGAGAGATTGTAACTGTTTTTGAAATTTGAATAGTCCTAATAAAAGGTTGAATAAACAAAGAAAAAGATCCAAGAGTTATAAGACTATTTAGCTTAATAATTAGTAGAATATGAAAAAGAATAGGAGAAAAAAAAAATATAGAAAATAAGAAATGATCTTGCTAAGAAACATCATAAAAATAGATTTTCAAGTTTTACAAATTCCTTGCATCGACCTTAATTTATAAATTAGATTAAGGAAAGGGATTTATTTGATAACAATTCTGTTTTTATTAATAAAGATGTTCCCTAATTAACAAATCTTTAAAAATCCTAATTGATAACACCAGATAGAAACTAGAATCCATCATATAGTATTAAATTAAATAATATTAGTAATACATTAATTGGATAGACCAACAAATAAATAAAAGAGTGAATTTCCACCTTTAAGAAAGAGATTTTTAAGTTAAAAGGAGATTAGTCGTATTGAATTTTGGGATAAGAATTTCAATCATTTATAAGAAATAGAATAGAAGGAAGTATGTATTTATTAATAGAAAAAATAGAAGAGTAGTCTTTTAATAGGAAAAATAAAGAAGTAACTTATAGAATAAAGGGAAGTGAATGTATTTAAACCTACAGATTAATGCTTAAGATTATTTGATAATAAAGTATCTTTGATATCAGAGAATCCTATAACTCCAAGATAATTAAGTAGAATTTTAAGTTTACCAAAAATTAAAGAAAAAAAAGTTTGGATGCCTAACAATAATTATTTTTGAGAAATGAATTTAATCAATTTATTCTTTAAGTTGGACTATTTCTTCCTTACTAAATGATATAGGATAATTTCTAATAAATTTCATTAATATTTATAATTTCTTCCTTATTTTTATTTTCTTCTTCTGATACTTCTCTTTTTGGTAAAATGAATTTTAATTATTTTATTTTATCTTCATTTTTTTAATATTTTATTTCTATTTTTTAATTATCTTTTAATAATACAGAAATTATTGATGAAGTTGGTATTCTCTTATAATCTTTTGTTTATCCAGATTAATAATTTTCTAATAAAATTTACACAAAACATTTTGTAAGTTTATAAATGGAAAATTTAGATTTCTTTTTGGTCAAATAAGAAAAATAAAAATCAAAATAATCTATTCCAATTATTACTTCATTTTAATATCCATCATTCTCTAACTTAATAACTTTAAATTCTTTATAATTAAACATAGCAAGTTTTTTTTCTATCTATATATTTACATCAGTAAAAGATTAAGATACTAAAATAGAATCTTTGTTTCCTGATTAATTATATAATTCTCGTATGCTTCCTGTTGTTGGATTATTAATATTCTCAAATTTAAATTATATTTATAACCAATGTATAGGTAATTAAATAATAGGGAATTAAAAATGTAAAGGTTCTTTATAATCAATATTAATACAAGGAAATTTCAAATTAAAATACCAATCATTTTTATTATATTTATTTCCAGATCTTCTTTGTAATTAATTATATATATCTTCTAATGTTGCATTTAAATCAATATTTAAATTATAAAATATCACATTTTTTGTATCTTCAATTAATATAATTATAGAATTAGGAAATTACTTTTTTGTTATTTCAATTGTATATAAATCTATACCATATTTATTTTTATCTACTACTTCTAGAATTAAAACTTTATAAAATATTTTCTAAGACAAATCTAAATCAATCTTTCTACTTGATAATGAATTTCCTTCTTCTATTACATAAGGATATTATTACTAATATTCTGTTTAATCTTCTATTATACTATTTATTTAAGAATTTGAAAAATCAAAATAATCATCAATACTAGTTAATTGATAAGCTAAAGAAAAATTAGAGTATTTTAGTAAATTTTAATCAAAATTTTATGTTCTTTTAAATTCTTAAATTGCTAAAACAATTAATTCACAAACCAATATATTTTCATCAACTACTATAGTTTTACTATAATCTGTATTAAAATATTTAATCTAAACTTCTTTATAACCATATTTAAAATTGTTTTTCAAAATAGGTGTAATAAGTGATCTTTTGAAAGAAATCATAGAAAGAGTTCTAACACTTCTTTTATTAATTCTATAACGTTTGAGTTTCTCATTTTCTGATATCAATTAAGTAAAAGATTTATTATGTGTTCTAAATGAAGTATTACTTCTCTTTAAAATAGGTTTTTAAGGATATTCTTCTTATATTTCTTTTTAATCATCATTAATCTTTTGAATATTATCATATTCTATGATTTCACTCCAACTACTTTGATTATTTGTTCTTATTTATCTATTAAGATTGATATTTAATTCAAAATCCTAGCTGTTTTTAATAATTTTAGTAACGTTTGAACTCTATTCTTGTTCATAGCATTGTCTATAAAGGTTCTCAAAATCATTCCAATTAATGTCTAGATTCTCTTTTTAACTAGAATAGAGTGGAATTTTTGGTTCTTTTTACCATTTGATTGGTTATTCACATATTTTTAGATAAAAATTATCCATAATAATAATATTTATATAAATTGAAATCACTTTTATGTTTCATATATTCCTACATGATTCTTTCTAATTCCTAATAATTTATCTAATTTTTAATAAATTTCAAGAAATTATTTATTTAATTTAGCTTATGTACTTTTATCATTACTTTATTCTGGAATAAAGCATAATTATTTAAAATTACGGGCATTATTCTTGTATGTGAAATAAAATTTATTTTATTTTTTATCTAAAGAACTTTCTTTAATTGCCTTTATTTTAATAATTTTCTCTGATTTCTTATGATTCTTAAACATATCTACAATATAATTTGTTATATACTAGAACAAAGAATAATTTTAAGATAAGTTATTCTATTGATTGATATAGATTATTCGAATGTCAAAATAATCAATTCCTATTATTACTTAATATTGTTCATCCTTTTTTAATTGCATCAATGCATACTCTTGGTAAGAATATATTGAAGATAAATAATGTCTAGATTCTATTTTACATTAGCATTCTTATGGATTATATGACAAGAGTCCATCTTCAATATTATTAGGTTATTTGAAATTTGAAAATTTATTACTAATATCAATAAGATCAGTAGTCTAAGTTTCTATTGAATATTTTTTTTCTAAAACTAACCAATGTATTGGTAATTCTTTGATTGGAGTATTCAAAGATAATGGACTAATATCAGTATGTATACAAGGATATTTTAATCTTAAATAATAATCATTATAAGATCTTTTGTTTGTTGAACCAATTTTTATTTAATCAAAAACATTTTCTAATTTTGATGTATTGAGACATTTAATTTATTAATTAGATTGAGTTTAAACATCTTCAACCATTAATATGATGTATTCAGGAAATAATTCATAATCCTTTTTTAGAGTTAATAAATCTATGCCAAATTGTAATTAAAATGTTGAATTAACAACAATATCAACTTATTTACAACTTAAAGTAGCTGGATAATCAATAGTTATTGTTCTATCTTCAATATCTGCAAAAGAATACTCAACCTAGGATGTGATTGCTCTCTTTATAATAAATATTCTTATCATACTTCATCGCAACTGACTCTTCTAGCAGCAATATTATCATCATCTTTTTCAATATAACTTTTAGTACGTTATATAGGTTTTCTAAATTTATCTTCATCCATTTCCATTTAATCTTCTAAAGTTTCCAATTAATAAGCTAGAGTATAATTCTTGTATTCATATAGATTTTAATCAAATCTTCTTTCAAGACTATATTCTTTTAATGCAAGTACTATAAATTCAATAGCTGTCATTTCTTTTTCAATAAATAATACTTTTGAAAGATTGGTTCTAAAATATTTAACTTAAATAGTGCGTAAATGTTATTTTCCAATTAAATTTATGTTGGAAGTAATTATTGATTTTTATTTTCTTATTTGTTCAAAATTATTAACTATTGCTTAATTAGCTCTCTTTAAAAATAATTTAGATCTATGTTATTTTGCAAAATGACCAAAATCTTTTTTAAAAGCAGTTTGACTTCTTTTCATGGTTCTCTTTAATTGTTAATAATCTAGCTAATTGTTTTATTAAATTTACTGATCAATTTGCTTAATTTAAACTTGATTATGATAATTTTCTTTAGATTATTGTGAACTTTATTGAGATTCTTAAATTGAACCTCTTCTGAAGAATAATTGTGTTTACATTCGCTTCTGTTTAGTTATGTCTAATTCTTCGTCAGATTCTTCTATGTTAATAAAAGATAGAGTTTCAGTTTATATAAGTTATAATTATTCCAATATTTCAATTTTATATTAGTGTGTTGATTCATTACTTTGACTAAGGGTATCTTGAATATCAAATTGATAATTTTCCATAAAATAGAAAATTTAATTGATTTTTATTATTTAATTTTGAATAAAAGAAAATGGATAAATTGTAATAATTAATACAATAACTTTTCTCTCTTTTAGATGTGAATTTCTTTCTTTCAAGAGAATTTAATAAAATATTTTCAACTCATAATAATGTAGAACAAATGGCTTAAGATAAATAATATAAAGAATTAGCATCTAAATTAATTGAATTCATATTATCTATTCATAAATCTAATTAACCTTCTTTATTATAAGAAAAAATTGCATAAACACATAGATTAATTAACAATTATCAATCTTAAGTTATACTTTAATAACAAAAAGAAATACCTTAATTAAATACTTTGACTTAAAAATAACTTACTACAGAAAGTTTTAAGAGTAATTCTATAACTCCAAGAGAATAATAATCAAATAATAGAAAAACTACTAAAAATTAATCATTAACCGATAAACGATAAATTTAATAACAAATTACCAGTTAAAAAAATTAGAAGGGAATCTAAAATAGTGATTCTTAATAAAGGTTATTTGTTGAACATATACCTAAAATGAGAAGATCCTTAATTAAAGATGATTAATAAAGAAACTTCAACATCATAACAGGAGTTTGATTAAAATTTTAAATATATATATATATATTTTATTTTTTTTACATTTCATAATGTGATTGTTTTTCCATCTGTTATAATACCCCAACCAATTAATCTAAATTTATTACTTAATCTTCTACTAAATGCTACTTTCTCTTACAAACCAGTACAAACTGGATTATTAAGAGCAACTCTCATTATTTTCTAATAAATATATATTTATTTATTTTACATCTTCTCTAACTTCAATAACTCTTCCTGGTGTTTCATTTGATAAGACATTAAATTTTAACATTTCATCTTATTAAATCTTAGCAATCTTTTAGGTTTTTCCATCTTGTTATTAAGCACCAACAACTGAGACCATCAAATAATAATTTATCTAAATTATTATTTTTTCATACTTCTAATTCTCTATAGAGTTCAGGTAATTATTTTGGGAATCCCAATACACATCCAACAAGATTATCATTACGAGTTAATGATGGATCAATTAATAATCCAACACCAATAAGTCCTCCTGGAACAGCATAGATTAATTCATTTTATTCAGCAAATAGAGTAACAACTCTTGTAGTAATAGGATGCCATGTTGTTTAATTTCCATTTTTAGATTATCTACCTGGTCTTATTTCAACTTCATCTCCAACTGAAAGAATTCCTTATAGAATTGAACCTCCTACTACACCTCCATGTAAATTTTCAGGTTTTTCACCAGGTTTATTAACATCAAAGGATCTATAATAATAATTATTATTTATAAAAGATTACCTAATAATAATCATTTTTGGTGGTACTT